ATTAACATATTTTTTAGTCCAGGTAGTAACTTGAGCTGGAGTGGTGCTATTTTTTTTTTTTCTGGAAAGAAACCAAATTTCTCTACATTTCTGAATCAAACTGAGTAGATTGTGATGAAAGGAGTAAAAATAAAAACAGCAGAAGACAAAAGCCCTTCTACTTAAGAGTTTTGAACTGAAGTCACATGTTGAACAAAAGATATTTAAATTAACTGTTGAACAAAGTAAGAACTCTTCAAAAGAAACAGGGTTCCCTGCCAAGTCCTCTGAAAATGCCCCTAGGCCTCTTTCTCATTCTCTACTATTATTTCAGTTTATATGTCTAAGATATTTTATTTCTTATCTCATTCTCTTCCTACCACCTAGTGGGCACATAGTTGGCACTTAGTGCTGTTCATTGGATTGAATGGAATTGGGTCTCTGGAGTTAGTTTATTCTCTAAAGAAGAAACTAAAAGAGAAATAATTTTGTCCAGAAATAGAAACAACAAATCTGAATTCTCTGCAGTGGAATGAAATTTAAAAGTAATTAGATTATTCTGAAAGGATTAGTTTTAAATGGAAAACTTGGTCAGAACTTAGATTATAACTCAGATTATTTGTTATTTCTCTGCATTTTTTTAACCCTTTAACATATAGGTCTTTTTCAGAGGGATAAGATTAAAGGATAAAAAATTCAAATATTAACTTTAGTGGAATCCATAATTGTAAAATATAATATAAAACATAGGAATCAAGAACTTTTAAATTTTATATTTATTAATTTTTTTTTTAAAATTTTGTGGTTCAGGGGATCAGAACCCAGGACCTTTTCATGTTACGCAAGTATTCTACTACTAGTCCCCGCATTAATAATTTTTTACATTGCTTGTTCCAAAAAGAACTTGAGGTAGTAAATGGGAACTTAAAGTAGAGGAGACAAGTTTAAAGGTATATTTCCTTTACCACAGAGCTAAAGGGTGGTTTGGTCAACCCATTATAGGTAAGTAAGGAGACACCTAGGGAGATCACATAGTAGTAGGAGAAATATTTGAGTAATTATGTGACTTATTTGAGATCACATGGTTATTTATTAGCTAAACTAGAATAAGAAACCAAAATACTAAATTCTGGCATGTATGAACATTTGGCTTAATAGGCCAGGTATTTTTGCTACATAGGTTTGAGACAGATTAGTTAAGATTATTACTGATCTGTTTGTTTGTAAAGTTGTAGCCTTTATTAGGAATCTTACTTCACCATACTAAGTTGACCTGCAGGAATAATGTTTTCCCAGTTAGCAGAGCATTTTGTGAATTAACCCTTTATTAATTGTTTGTTCTACTCTATTTTTATTTGGAAAATATAGGTGCTATAGAAACTTTCTGTTTTGAGGATGTGAGGAGAGAGGTGGAAAATGTATTTCCTGTCATCTCCTGATTGATGGCTTTGAAACTGGAAGCTTTGCCTGGTTTTCCTAGGCAGGCTTTGCCACTTGTTCAGAAATTAGGAGACATATTTCTTGTGTATCTTTAGAAGCTTTTTTTTTTTTGTGTGTGTGTGTGTGTGTGTGTTGTGTGGGGGGCGGGGTGCTGGGGATTGAACCCAGGGCCTTGTGCATGCAAGGACTTTAGAAGCTCTTGATGTGATATTTCAGTGATAGAACACTGAATTGGCAAGATCAAGAACAGAATATGACAATCCTTCAATAAATGGGTAGGTCAAGCAAACAATTCTTAGTATACATTCACTTCGTATACAGAGCCTTTCCCAGCACACTGGACTTTTCTTTCTAGCCTCATTTCCTTTGCTGAAGCTACTCCAGTCTGTTCAGTAAACCATGTACTCAAACACATCTGACTTAACCCTTTCCATTTTTTTCTGATAGGAGGTAGTCCTGTGATGAGACTATAAGAAAAGCATAATAGAAGGTTGGTAAAGCAACTGTGAAGAATGAATTAGAATAAGGAAGATTGTGGAGACAAGAATACTAATTTTGGAGATAGTGAAGTTCCCATGGATCTGAGTTGTCCAATATAATAGTTACATGTATCAGTTTGGATAAAATTGAAAATTCAGTTCATTGTTTGCACTAGCCACATGTGGCTAATGGCCATTGTGTTGGGCAATAGAGATTAAATAGAACCATTTCCATCCTAACAGAAAGTTCTATTGAACATTACTGCCAAAAATCAACTCCTTAAGTGAAAATCACATTCGTTCTTCATAGTTATATTTTATGTGTTATACCTTAAAAAATGGGCCGTTTGTCATACCTAACCCAATTCTAGGCTGGGTGTTTTCAGAGTTAGAGAGATTGTGGATACTATCACCAAGTATAAATGCAGCTTAGAATAACAAAGTAAAATTTAGTGTCCATCACTTAAATACTTAAGACTAGCTTCTAAATAAGTAACACTTGAGAATACTGTTATTATTCTCTTCTCTTTCCTCACCTATTCCTCTCCTTGCAAAAGAGGCACAAACTAATTAAATATAGTTCCTTTCTACTTACTTCTACTGGGGGCAGAGTATTTTCTATTTGCAAAATTGTTTTAATGATTTTGCCTGGTGTGATCATGATTGTTTTTTCTTATGATAAATCTTTCCTATATATCAACCTTCCAGTATTGCTGCTATTTTCTTTCTTTCTTTTCTTTTTTTTTTTTGTATCAGAGATTGAACCCAGGGGCGCTTAACCACTACGCTCCATTCCCAACCCTTCTTTTATATTTTATTTAGAGGCAGGGTCTTGCTAAGTTGCTTAGGGCTTTACTAAGTTGCTGAGGCTGGCATTGAACTTGCAATCCTCCTACCTCAGCCTCCCCAGCCACTGGGATTACAAGTGTGCACTAACACACTTGGCTCAGTGTTGCTGCTTTTGAAAACATTTCATTTAATTGACCTAGAAGTCATTTCTAATTTTTCTTCATCTTATTCTACTCCATAGTTTACTCCATATCCTCCATCCTACCCAGTCCAAGAACAAGTTCTAATAATGGTTCTTTCCCCCAAAAGATATAATAATTCTGTTCTTTTTTTTTTTTTCCATTTCCACGTCTTGTTTTAAGTAACTCTTTCTCTCCTGGATGATTGCAGTAGCCTGTTAATTGCTCCCTAAGTTCTCCACATAAAAGGCAAAGCCATCTTTTACAAACAAAATCACATCATAACAATTTCTTGTTTAGGACTTCTCTTGCTGTTGTCCTTAAAAAGGATTCCAACACCTCATCCTGGCCTGAAAGGCTCCTTGTGACCTGGCCCTGGCCTTCTTACCTGATCTCATCACCACTTGGCGCTTCCCTTTTTTCCTAAGCTTCTTTGGCCTCCTTTAGATTTTCTAAGTACACCCCATCTTTCCTGCCTCAGGGCCTTTTTCTTGCTGCTTCCTCTGAACTGCTCTCGCCCAGCTCTTGCATGAGTGCTTTCTTCTTAGCTTCAAAGTCTCAACTCTGAGGTTATTTCTTGAGGAAAGATTGCTTTGTCTATTCTTTGTAAAGTAGACTCCCACTACTTCCACCCCTTACTCTATAGCATCACCCTGATCATTATCTGGAGTTCTATCATTTGTTTAGAGAACACCTTAATATTACTCTTAAAATTAAAGAATTATATTGCTACAATTTTCTTCCTCCCCATGTATTCTGACTACTCCTACTAGAATATAAGTTCTATGAGGGCAGGAAACCTTTTTTTATTTTCTGCTCTATTCTCAGCATCTAGAACAGTGCCTGGCACTTGTGTAGTTTTCTCAATAAAAGTTTCATAATACTGAAAAACTAACAACTTTCCAAAGGAGATTTAAGAAGAACTTATCTCTCTCTCTTCCCTCCTTGTTCTCTGTGTCTCTGTCTCCCTGCCTGCACATGAAAGGAAGCTCCATGTGTCTTACATGTGAACATCCTTTTAGGCTGTTCATACTTAATATGAACCAGTGACTTCTAGGCTGAACCTCATCTTTTTTACTTCATGAAGTTGTGATCTACAGTTTTTTTTGAATGGTTAGTTTCAGCTGGAAAACATAGTGAACAATACATCTGGAAATATTCTGTCATGCTTGATCTGAGAAACTGTAGAGAACCAGCTGCTGATTTGAAAGGCTTTTATTACGATACAGATAGTCTATTGTCTACAGAAGTACTGGCTATTGCACAGTAGTGTGTGTGTGTTGCTTTTTCTGAGCTATTAGCTTGAGAGAAAAAACTTGTATTCACTAATTTATGCATGACTTGTAGTCTCTAAGAATGGTTTATTGTGCTGTTCTATTTAGCTGATATGCTGTGCATTTAGGAATTTTTCTTACTCCATTTTTTCTTCTTTGGACTCAAAAGTTAAGTGGCAAATAGGATTGAGATACTTTCCAATCTTCATTTAAAAAATTTTACAGGAGTAACCAATTTTCTTTCTCTACGGGTTTCTGCATTCAAATGTCATTTAAATTTATAACTCAGTATTTCTAGGTAGCTGTATATTGATAAAAATTGGTAAATTTCATCATTTACTATGTTAAAGTTTACTTTTCATATAGTACTTTATAATCATGACAGAATGGGAGAGAGATTGGTATCCAAGCCCTACACAGGAGGTGAAGAAAGTGAGGCGGTGTATCATTTGTGGTATAATGCATTCACATATATAATTTGATTAGTGTGACTTTTAATATTTTGACAATATTTAACTTCATGTTTCTGGTGCTGAGTGTGAATATTTTAAAAACATTTTTAGTATTACTATTTAGAAGATTTATGTAAAATGACAGATAATTTCTTAACTTTCAAGTAGGAAATAATTACACCTAAATAGCTTAGAGAACACCTTAATATTACTCTTAAAATTAAAAAATTATATTGCTACATTTTAAAAAATTTAGAAATAAACAGTGCAAATCCAAATTTACTCAAAATTTCTTAGCATTAATACAACTACTGTTAACATTTTATTTTCTATTCTTTCAGTGTTGTATATATATAAATTTGTTGTTTTTGTAATGATAGTATGTTCGTTTTTATATGTTTTCTTTTATTTTTTTTTCAAACTGTATCCAGCTTTATTAAAGATACTTTTCATAAACAATCATGATATTTCAGGCAGGACATGGGCAGACAATCGTTAACAGTATACAACAACTTTCAAACTCCCTTCTTGAATGGACTACCAAAATCAGAAAGCCATTATAAAACCCAATGAAGTCTTCATTTGATGCTCTGAATAGGGAAAGTTTAGAGTGAGGGTTGACATTTCACATTTAGCATGTTGTTTAACAACTTTTCACAAGCCGACCCTGACTTTCAGGAAATGAAAGGAAAATGGCAAAAATTATTAATCTGAAGATCCACAATCTAGAAAAGGAACTGCTGCTCTTCTGAGGGACATATTCTCAATGACGTCACTGGAAAGTCCAGATTGCCCCACACACTGGTAAAACCAATCGTTGGGAATCAGGTCCCAACAGGTCTGAGTTTAGGGGAGATAAGTCTATGCTCATGGCAGAGAGGGACAGGAGGACATACAGATGAGTTTGAGTTTTTCCATACCACAAGGCATTTGTGCCAAGGTGGCTATGTGTGCCAACATCAGGGAGTCCCTTCCTCTTGGGAACAAAGAGGAAGTCTCTCAAAACTAGAAGGGAAAGGTGTTTTCCCCCCACAGCAATCCAGCTTTGGAGACATTCTACTAGTGACATATGCTCCTTCCCCCCACCCCCAAAACAACAATGAAGTGTTCTGTGTGCTAACAACATAGCTTAAAAAAAAAAAGTAAAACAAAATTCTACATTTTTATAAAACTTGATAAAAAATAGTATTTCAAACTGTACAGTCACCAGAAGTACACAGTTATCAAATTGCACACACTTCATTTGGCATCTCCAGCACCTTCAGCCTTCTGTGCCTGGTCTGTTTTGGCATCTCCATTTTCTGCAGGGTTATTCCCATCCTTGCCAGTGTCAGCTTTTCCCTTTTTCCCTTTGGGTACCTTCTCTCCCTTCTTTGAAGGGGCCTTTTTAGGCTTGGGCTCTGGCTTTGGAGGAGCAGGTTTGGCAGACAACCTTGCAGATCTTCTCTGTGGTTGTCTTTCACCTTGGCTTTATCTCCTTTAGCATTCCTTTCAGCCTTTCTCTTGGGCACGGTGGCGACGGCGCTGGACACGGGGATGCAGCGGCACGCGCTTTGGTCAGTGCCGGGGGTGGGAGGGTGATGGGGGGGTTGTTCCCGCCTCCTCTTCTTCCTATATGACTTCTTTTAAATGAAATATGTCATAAAGATTTTTCTCATAGAGCTGAGTCTTTGACCATTGCTTTAATGGTCCCCATAATACTCAATCGGAAACTGTATCTTAATTTTTTAACTTTTCCTTTTTGTTGGATAAGTTATTAAAAAATCGTTTTAGCTATTATAATTAATTAATCAATATCATTGTGAATACTTTTGTGAATATTGTTATTACCACATTTTTTATATTATTGCTTATAGGGTATATTCTCATAAGTGGAATTCCTAAATGTTACCTTTTTTTTTTGCCTTTTCTAATATACACTAGCAAATAATTTTCTAAAGAGAATATGTTAGTTGATATTGCCACTCACAGGGTTTAAAACTACTTGTTCTGTTTGTGTATTCAGATCATGTATTTTACTTTTTAAGTTGACCTATAGTTAAGGGACAACATATTTTAATTTCACTTTTTAAAATTACTGTGAAGGGGGCTAGGGTTGTCACTCAGTGGTAGAGCACTTGCCTAGCATGTGTGAGGCACTGGGTTTGATTCTCAGCACCACATAAAAAAATAAATAAATAAAATAAAGGTACTGTGTTCAACTTTAACTAAAAAAAAATTAGTATGAAGGTGCATATTTTTATGTTTGATTTCTAAATTCAGAGTCATTTTAAATAATTTTCCCTCATTTCCAACTTCTATTTTTTTTCTGTATAGGCATTTTAAACTACCACACTTTAATTTATATATTTCCTGTAATCTTTTAGAGATATAGCATTATACATATGTATAAGTCAGGCCATGGTAGTATATATCCTAGTGACCTGGGAGGCTGAGGCAGGAGGATTGCAAGTTTGAGATCAGCGTCAGCAATATAGCAAGACCCTGTCTCAAAATAAAAAATAAAAACATGTTGGGATGAACCCAAGTACCATGGATAGTCATAAAGCTCTAATTAAAAATCAATAAAAAATAAATATAAAAATGGCTGGGGATGTGGCTTAGTAGTAGAGTGATACTGGGTTCAGTCTCAAGCATGAGGGTATGACAAAAACATATACATATGTATTCTTCTTATTTTTTTTTAAGTTGTAGATGAACATAATACCTTTATATATCTATCTATCTATTTATTTTTATGAGGATCAAACCCAGTGCCTTACACGTGCCAGGCAAGTGCTCTACCACACAGCCCGAGACCCTGTACATATATATTCTTTTTTTTTTTTTTTGAGAGAGAGAAAGAGAATTTTTTAATATTTATTTTTTAGTTTTCGGCGGACACACATCTTTGTTTGTACGTGGTGCTGGGGATCGAACCTGGGCCTCATGCATGCCAGGCTAGTGCCCTACCACTTGAGCCACATCCCCAGCCCCATATATATTCTTGATGATGAATTTCTCTTTTATTCTCACTATGCTCAGGTGTCTTCAAATTAGTTACTCTGTAGAAGGAATAATTCCATTTATGTTATTTAAGTATGTTGTGGAAGCATATTATGGGAACAATCTTAATAATTCAGAAAACGCAGAAATTGTCTTTGGATTCAGAAATTTCAATGATTGATTATGTCTTAAAGTATAAGTTTCAAATATATTTAAATAATAGTTTGTAAAAGTTTGAAAATTTGTATTTGAATTATGAATCTTTCCCTCTTGTAGGTTGGAAAAGAGACTGTTCAAACTACCGAGGATCAGATATTGAAGAGAGATATGCCACCCGCATTTATTAAGTGAGTAATTAAAATATTTTGTTGCTTGACAGAAAAATCTTGTTAGGAAAAGTAACTGATTCCAGGAATAACTTTTTTTTTTAAATATAAAACTTATGTTTACAATTGAAATGTCAAGTTTTGGTCTTTCAACCCTTCTTTTCCTACTATGTTGATTTTAGTCATTGGTGTCAGGCACTTTAGTCAAGTCCTAAGTAAAAGTGAAGACTGATGAAAGAGACACTTCCCTCATCCCCTAAAAAGAGTAGAACTTCTTGAAGACAAGACTGTTAAACAAACTTAATAAAGCAATGCCCCCCATGATTAGAAAAAACACTTAAAAAGAGAGTAAATTCAAATGGCCCAAAACATAAAAAGGTTATCCATCTAAGTAGCTATTGAGGAAGTGCAAATTATTTAAATCCCTGAGTTAGAAAGTCTGATAACATCAGTTATCGATAAGGTTGTGGAACAGTCAACTGGATCTCTGTTGGTTGGAAATATAAATTGATATGGAAACTTTGGAAAACAGTTTGGTGTTAGTAAAGTACAAGACAGGCAGTTTGAAAGTGTGTTCTCTGGAGATACTCAGGCATATATGCACAATAGAATTCACATAAAAATATTTATGTCATTTGTCAAGATGACTTCACTGATCTGTCTATAGGAGAATGGATTAAAACAATCACGGTATTGTCATAAATTGGAATATTAATGGTATTAACAATAAGGAATGAGAATTTTTTACTTTAAAATATCTAAAGTATTAAAATGTTTTGTTTTTAAAGAGCAGTGAATGAATCTTAAAATTTTTTGAAGGACATTCTACTGTTATATATAACTAATTAGAACAAATAAAAAGTTTAAAAAAAATTTTTGAAGGAGGTTAGTGGTAGACAGTTCATTTATTTAAAGTTCAAAAACATGCAGGAAAAAAAAAACTTCGGTTAGAGATGCCTATTTATATGGTCAAAAGACAAAGGTGAGTAAGGAATTGTCAATAAAGTCAGGGTAGTGGTACCTCTGATGGATGAAGAGGTTTATATTTAGGGAGAGGCATACAGAAGCTTCTAAAGTGGTAATAATATTCTATTTCTTGACTTAAGTGATGAGCTTACAATGATAGTTGTTTTATAATTATTTGTCATTATAGTTTTATGTAATTTTCTGTATTTAGGTTATATATCACAATTTTGAATAAAAATAAGATGTTTCTATTTTTAATCTTCCTTGTGTTTTATTATTTTCATTGAATAGATGCAAAAGTTTTAGTCATTGATGTCTTATTTCTAACTTGAGTGGGTGTTTCTATGGAACCATATTTCTTCCAATTCATGTGTCAGGGAATAAGGTACTGGCAGCATCTATTTTTTGTAAATTTTACTCTGTGCGTCTTTTTCTTCCTTCATTGGACTTGATGATCTCCAGTGTTTCTTCCAGCTATACCCTGTATGGGCCTACTTTGTTTATCTGCCATTCCATCACCATGATAATATTAAGATGAATAGTATGCTGTTAAACATATAATTAAACTTGCATTTGCCTTACATTAAAAATAACTGTAGCTTATACCAAGTTGCTACTAACCCACTGGAAGATAAAGAACTTTGTTGAGAGCCACAGACAAGTCAAGATGGCGCCTGGCACTTTGCCAAGAGGAGTGGTTTGAGAAGTAACGCCAGGGAGCCATTAAGATGATAGAGATTCCTTACTGATTGACTGCTGTGTCTAGATTATGTCAATTAAGTTAAGCTGTGTGTAATCATTAAGATGATGAAGATTCCTTATTGGTTGACTGCTGTATGTAGTTTATGTTAATCAAGAACAAGCTGTGTATTCAGTTATGTATATATACCCCTACTGTCCTACAATAAAGCGGCTCCCGCTGTATCAACCTTCACAAGTTGCTTGTCACTCCCACCCCGGCTATTTTGCCCAGCCAGACTGCGGCAGAGCGTGAGACTCTGAACAGAGAGTTTCAATATCAAGTAGGTGGTTGCATTAGATAACCTTCCAAAAAGTTTCTTTTAATAAGACACCTACTTGTTATTAAAAAGATTTTGGATGCTGGAAGAAAAAAACTTACTGTTTTCCCCTTTTTGTGGTATTGGGAATTGAGTTCAGGGGCACTTTATCACTGAGCTACATCCCTGGCCCTTAATTTTTATTTTGAGATAGAATCTTGCTAAATGCCCAGGCTGGCTCAAACTTGCAATCCTCCTTCCTCAGACTTCCTAGTAGCTGGAATTACAGATACAGGCTACTATGCCTGGTCTTACTTTGCTATTACAAAGATTTCAGATGCTGCAAGAAAAAAAAAAAAAGGAAAAAATCTTACCCTTTCATTAATATTGACATCCAAGTTTATAAATATAATTTGGAAAATGGATTTTTGTCAGGAAACTCATTTCTGCTCATTCTCAAAGATATATCCTTGAAATATGCTATGTATTCTCATAGGCTTTCTTGGAGACTTAGAAAAATTAAAGAAGTGTATGCTGTAGTTGTGATAAAATCTTCAAAGGAATAGGTAGCTATAAAACAAAACAAAATTTTCTTTGATCACCCTTGGTGGCAACTGGGACACCAACCCCTTTCTCTGTTAATTGGTAATTTAAAGAAAAGAATCATGCATTTATTCTTCCTTTCCTATATAAACTTTATTTCAGAGTAGCCCAATAGCCCTAGTTGATGAGGAGAATACCATTCAATAAATATGGAAGGAAGACAGGATTAGAAAGTCATCATTATATAACTTTTCTTGATAGAGTTGGTTTAGGTAGAGATATTTAGTGGATAAAACCATTCAGAGATTTGAACCTCTGTTGTGCCATGGGGGAAAATCTTTGGCCCCCATGGGCAATCTGGGAAAAATAGGGTATTATAAACAACTAAAAAATTTACTAGGCTGTTTACTTAAAAAATATTTAACTTAATATGCCACATTCTGAAATGTTACTTGAAAAATAGCCTAGAGTACAAACAACAATATAGTTGTGGTAATCAAACAGACTTAGAGGCAAATAAACATTGTACAGTTTAAAACATGATGGTTCTTTATGTTTTTCTTGCTTTTCTTAGAATGCAAATGAAGCAGAACACAGTAGGTGACTGGACTTGTAGTGGGGAGGGGCCATAGAGGGAAACAGATGGAAACAATTAATGACATCTTTGGAACTGTTGAGTAGGACATTCTTTTGGACTGTTTGCTTGATGTTTAGATGTTTCCAGGGCATGGCTGACCTACGCTTCCTCTGTAGTTTTCTTTTACAAGGATTTCTAAATAGTGACTGCTTAAGGCAGCACTAACAAAAAAATGTTTTACAAATTTATTGTTTTAAATCAGTCTTTTCCTAGAATATTAGGATGTCAGGGTTAGTGAAAACAGAAGATTCTTGGCCTGCAAATAGATTTATACCTAAACCAACTGATACATATTTAAAGATTTTTCAGAAAAGATATGACATTTTCAAGAATAGGGTTTTCAAAATCAAAGAACAGTCATATTTGTATGACTGGCAATTAAGGGCGTTTTGGAAAATGTGTTAATATCAGTTAAAAATGATTGAGCATCCCTAATCCACAAATCCAAAATCTAAAACACTCTGAAATGTGAAACATATCTGATCCTGAACATTTTGGGGTATAGGATATTCAACCTGTATTTGAATGGTAATTTTCCATGAGGGACTTATAATGCTCAAAAGATGCCTTATTGTAAAAGAGAACCATTTTAATATAGAACAAGATTTACACTGTCACCGGAAAGCTTTTTCTTGGGTGGAGCAGAAGTTATTTTATCTTTGACTTCACAGGCAGATAAAATACACAGTTTACTAACTTTACCAAGATTGCAGTGATAGCTACAGTGTTGCACAAGAGGTATACTGTTGCATGATGATTGCCATAGAAACTTCTGTGATGATCATAAACTTCAGGAGTGCAGTAGCCATGCTGTACTATTAAAATATTAGTTAGGCTCATCCCATGAGAAGTCATTTGTTCCCTTAGAGACTGTCAGCAGGAGAGTTAGCCCCTGTACTCCATGTTTGCACCTGAATCATCATTGTCAGTTGTCAGTGTCATCATCATCATCAACTACAGCATTAATTAATATTTATGTATATTGATTGAGCAATGGGCTAGACACACTTATTGGTTAATTTTTATTGATTGCTTTCTATTTGTCTAGCTTGGTAAATGCTATGTAGAAGAGCAGTTCTTACCTATGTATAATGAAGGATCACTTACGAGATCTGTACAAGTAATTTATTAATAGTAATAAAGAACCAAAGTTTACTAGTGCTTCATTTTAAAAAGTAAATTGAGCATGTTCAAAAGTCACATGTTTACTAATATCCCTCTTATTCCTACCTACTTTTTTTTTCTTTTAAAACTCTCATTAAAGTATAATATATTCTCTTGTTTTTTATTATGCTTTCTTTAGTGGGAGTGAAATTACACTTACTATGGCTGGGAATTATACACAGTCCTAGATACATACATGGGAGTATATGGGGCATGTCATACATATGAATTTTATTTTTCTATGTATTATGGAGAAATAAAGGTGGAAATTGTGGCTGCAGAGGAATTTTTTTAAAAGAAATACTCTAAGTTTCAAATCAAAAGCTGTAATACAGACTGACTTTGTAATAGGAATACAGAGAAAAAGACCAACTTTAGAGGTAGGAATAATAGAAAAAGTCTCATGTAGGAAGTAGGATTCAGGAGGACAGAGAAGGTAGAAAGGATGGCATGAGCAAGTCATGGGGGCCTGTGAATCCAGAACTAGTCATGATGGGGTGCTAGGAAATAAGCTTTGAAGGTAAGTTGGGCCAACTGATGAAGGTCCTTGAAAGCTTGGTAAAGCTCTTTAGAATTGAGTAGCAGAGAAGCTTTGCAGTTTGTGAGCTGTTGAATGACAACATGTAAGTGATTTTTCAGGAAGATTCATAGCCAAATACAGAATGAATAATTGGTGCTAGTGCTGTAATGAAGGAAAAAAAGTTATATGTCAA